TTGGCGATTCCGGCTCGTCATACACGCTAAACATGACCCCGATCGGCTCATCATACATGTTAAACATGCCCCCCCCCATTTGGCGATAATGGATCACCCTATCTCTTAAATACGCCCCCTCATGTCGGGACCACACATCTTGAACATGTGACACTTGGCGGCTCCTGTTCATCATATATGTTAAACATGCCCCCCATCGTTTGGCGATAACGGTTCATCATATCTTAAACACGCCCCTTCATTTGGCGATATCGGTTCACCATGTATCTTAAACACACCCCCTTCATGTGGCGGTTCCGGTTGGCCATATATCTTAAACACGCCGCACCCTTATTTGGTGATTGCGGTTCATCATACGTGGTAAACACGCGCCGACATTTGGCGATTCCGGTTCATCCTATATCCCAAACAGGCCCCCCTCCTTTGGCGATATCGGTTAATCATATATCTCAAACATTGGCCGACCGATTAACCGACAAGGACCAATCGACCGACCGCCCGACTGACTGACAGACCGGGATGCTGGCGTACCGACCGACGCACCGACTGACCGACCGACCGACCGACTGACTGACTGACTGACCACCCTGTTGTCGCACCGACCGATTGACTGGACTGACTGACTGACTGACTGACTGGCTGGCTGGCTGGCTGGCTGGCTGGCTGGCTGACCGACTGACTGACTGACTAACTGACTGACCGCTCGGTTGGCTAACCGACGGACTGACTGACCGCTCCTGTTTGGACGACCGAATGACTCACTGACTGACTGACTGACCGCCCCGTTGGCTCACCGACTGACTGACTGACTGACTGACTGACTGACTGATCGATTTATGGACTCACATGCCCACTGAACCGAAAACCAAAAAAAATACACAAAAAACTTCGCCTATGGCTTCAGGAATTGCAAAGTCTTTGCTCAAAGACCCTGGACCTGTCCTCAAGCCCTACAACGTGGGTTAACGAACCAGCCGCAAAGCAAAATTCCTCAGCTGCGTCGGGCCTGCTTGCCCTTTTTCTGCAGCCCTCGCATGGCATCATCGAACTTCCTTGGTCACGAGCCATGTAGAGAGCGCGAGAGGAATTTTGGTGATGGGACGAAACTGAGACAGGAGTTTGCGGCAGCTTGCAGAGGTTGTTTCGTGTTGTGAGGCTCCGGGACATAATATTGGACGGGCTCGAGCGAGCAACCTAGAGTACCCAGCCCTTCGATCCGCGCAACCGTGAAACTACTACCCTTCCGCTCTGAGCATGCACCACTTCTGAGTTTCAGAATGCCTTGGTACTAGCCAATTGAATAAGGTCTCATTTGATCGCCGCCCGCTGCGTTGATCTGGCCAGGATTGCAGCGTACGATGATTGCATCGAAGCCCTCCATGGCTTTGATGAAGGCGTCGTGCCTCGAAATGCTGTCACATGCAAGACCTTTTCACATGTAAGACGGGTCAATTGGTTGTTTGGTTGTTCAGCCTATGTTCCCAAGCAGCTGAAAGCCTGTCTTTGCTGAAATGGCCCGGATGCTCCTCTGGCACGTAGTGGACCAGCTGGCAGCTCATGCCCGACGCGATCATGCCGTTGGCAATGGGAATGGAGTCGTAACGGTGGCCGCTGGCGCTCTTGTCGGAGCCGCCAAAGGGCTGGGAACCCACGTAGATTTGGACCAGCGCGGTCTTGTACTTGGGGTTCGTTGGCTGTGGCAATAGCCCCACATCGTCCGTCTTGGCAACCTTCGTTAGGCCAGACACATCTACTAGCGAAGAGGTCTGGCATGCGCTGGGCTTTGCCCAAGCGAAGCCCGCCACTGCAGATCCCGTGACAGTCGTAGCAGCGGCCGCCAAAGCGGGCCGCGACGCAGCATACCGGAGGCCGCTGCGCGCGACGCGGAAGGCGTAACGGAAGGCCATGGCAAGCAAGGATGGCGCTTACAAGTACGCAAGCCACAAGCCAACTGCGGACAGCAGGAACACAAATCTACAAGTTCGGTCGTGCTGGCATTGCAGCCACAATAACTGGACAGGAAATTCCTTTCAAATATGCGGCAGCCCGAAGAAGCCAACAGCCGCACCGAAAGGGCGCCGTAGCTGGTCGCTGCTGCAAATTATCATCCTCCAACTCGAAATCAATAGTCTTAGCTACACGTTGGCAACTCCATCCCAGGCACCGGCACCGGCTTAAACGTTGAAGCTGCCCATGACCCCGGTCTGGAAACCCAAACCAACTTCCTGAACTCTGAACCTCAAAGCCTACATGCATTGTCAGAAACATTGCGGTTTCTGTATGACCAGGCTTACAGACCCCACCGTTAATTTCGGATTGCCTCCGCATGTGCAAGACTGTCCGTTTCAGCCTTCGCGGCCTTCAGACCAGAGCTTAGCCCGAGATCCTTGAACCCGGGAGGCCTCTACCCGAAAGAACGGAAGCAAGAAGCCCGAAGTGCAAACTTTTTTTGCTGCAGAGCTAGGAGCTCACAGCCTCTTGCAGCAACCTCGGGCCGAAGGTGGACATTTTGGACTCTCTGTTTTTGGAGGCAAAGGGCTGCCAAACAGCGGAAACTCGAAGTGGTGGTATGTCTGCGAGAAGTGTACTATGTACCAATTGACTTGGGAGTTCGGGCACAGGCTGTTTGACTTCTCCAATAGCTCGCTACTTGCAAGAGCGAAGCTCCAACTCCAACTGCGAGCTTCCGATCGGCGGTGAGATTCTCAGCTTGCTTTTAGGGTTGCGCAGCTCAAGGCGATTCTCGATGTCAGTTTGAGACAATGCAGGGTTTCCAAAGCTTGATGCTCTCCGGATTGCAAGATGGCCTGGGCTCCTTGACATTCTGACCTTGTTGTCGAAGTGCATGCATCTTGAGTCTTGAATGACCAGTCAGGACTCGACATTAAACCGTCGATCAGGGCGAGGCCGGGGCAGCCTCACGAACGCAACGTAGGATCCAGGCCGTTCCGGCTCCAAGGCTTCCAGGAGGTTTACAGGCGCGCGATGGTTCGACCTCGCAAGCAGTCGCCAAATTTCAACAAAGGGAAAGCAACCGGCGAAATAAGAGTGATAAGCCAAAGATACGGGGACAGCAGTGAATCAGGGTATGCACAGAAGTTGCACGACTGCCGGTGGTAAGATCAGTCGTGGTCTTAATAACAGCACCGACGGGGATAACCACACTCAATCTCGTTTACCCATGAGAAATACCATGCTCTCCGAATTTTTCGAATGAGCAACCCTAAACCCTGTATCTGGCTTCCGGGTGGTGCACCAAGTGTTCATTCGCCCCAGCCAGCGCCTTGCCTTGGCTAAGCTTCTTATCCGAGGGAGGTTTCAGTGCAAGGAGACCTGGCTTTAGGGCGTAGTTGCTGCCACATGGGCTCAAGCAAGTTCTGCTAAAACGGCCGTGCATGTTCCGGTGATTTCGGGACATGAGGGGTTCGAAATTTGTCGGTTTAGAGTGAGCTGAATCGATGGCTCGAGGTGCAAGACCGCTATTGGCTATGAGTGCCGGCCAAAGACTGGGAGCAGATGCTTTGTTCACCTCTCGCCGCCGCTCTGTCGTCTGGAACTGGGAGGCACGAGGCCTTTCACGCGTCAAGACAAGGAGCTCCATCACAGTGAACTAACAAGGTCACAGGTTCCCATCGAAGATAAAATGACACTTCGGGCAATATGATAGCACTGCAGTAAGTTGGTCATGACGCTCCATGATGGCATACTTGTTCAAGTCACCGACGCGATATCCGTACCTGGTTGGCCCCTCACAGCCATGCGGACAGCTGATCTCGTTCGATATGTGGTCGAAGCGATCAACCACCGTTCTGACTTCTTCAGACGCTCCCTCTGACGTTGCACGACAAGCCAAAAACTCATCAATAATTGCCTTGGCAGCCGGACTAGAAGACGTCGGTGCTGTACGCAGTTGATGCAACAACCGGTGTGCATCTGTCGTTCGCTGGCCCAACTGCCGCAAAGCGCTGACACACGCCCGAATGTCTCGCTGTTGCCGCTGCGCAAACTCTTCTTGCAGCAGCGTCTTCCACTCGGAATGAATATCGATACCGTCCAGCAACAGCGATTGTATAGGTGCTGCAGGCTCTGGGCATTTGCGTTTCGTGCCGCTTTGCGAAACAGCGCCTCTTCGCGACTCGGTTGCCACACGCCGTTGCTCAAACAGCTTCTTGAGACTGCTCCGGGGTGGCATGCTGTGCCATCGCAGGCGCAGGGTGCTGGGGCTTAGAGGGCCAGTGTGCAGGAAGGCAGAATGCCCTAGTCCTAAAACTTTGCAAGTCACCAAGGCCGCGTAGCCGCTTCGCTGATGTTGGCTTAGCACTACGGTGTTTGCGGGGTGTTTCTCTTCTTCGGTGAATGCCAATGGACGGAAATGTAGAGGCGCTGATTCGTTCCATTCCCAACTGACGAAACCAGGTTACCAGAATCTTAAGCTCAAGCTTGCCAAACGGCTCGGGGTCTTGCATGGAATTGATGAGCAACGACATGCAATCTGGGTGCTTGAAGTTTTCGGGGTCCAGGCTTTCAGCTGATCCTGTGCAAGCACCAACTCCCGAGGCTGGGGCGCTGCCCAGATCTCCTTGATCGAGATATCTCTGCACAAGCCTCGTCTCCGACAAGGCTTCTGGTTGAAGAAGCATTACTTTGCAAGAAGGTGCCGATGCGCCAAGTCTGTCCTTGCCTGCTCACGTGGCCTCTGAGGTGTACTGCTAACCCGAAAACACGGAAGTTGCAAGTGCCAGCTTTCATTCGACAGCGAAACGCAAGGGATCAAATGGTTCGCCAAAATAGCTCTACAGGGAGCTGTTACAAGACAAGAGATGGCTAGGGCAAGTGGACACTTGAAGTTGCTTGGGAGTTCTGCATGTTTTTGTGAAGCCATCCTGTGACACCTCGTCGGTGCTCCATGTTAACCTCATCCAGGCCCCTAGAGCCTATAGTAGGTATTCCTAGCCCGACAGCTCTCCTTCACTCCTGATGCTCGGGTTTCGGCGCGGTGTAACATCGAGCCTGGGGCTCGATGCCTTCGCCTTAGTGCTTGGGGCCGAAAACACTGATTCAGTTCATTTCTGATTGTCAAATCCTAGGCACCCTCGACAGAAAAACGCAAGGCTTCTCAGCAAAAAAGTCTGAGCTGCATTGTAAGTGCCGGACCAACCATCTGCATCATCCAAGCCTCGGCACCTTCTAAGTCGCCAGCCTCACGTGGAGGGTCCTTCTTCTTTGGGGGCAACCCCGTATTCTACATGTCCTGGTACTGCTGTTGTCCACAGTGCTATACAGGCCTCGGGGATGATTATGATGGCCGTGTGGAGCTTCATTGTGGTTAAGGGCTGTTCCTGGGTTGCAAGATAAAAAAAAAGGGGTGCGTGAAAGTTGGCGCCTGAGTTTCAGGGTTCGGATACGTTCGCATGAGTGACACTTTCGAATGACTGCTTGGCATGGTGGGCCTGCATGTGCTTTGAAGCTTGTGTCCTCTTTATGTGAGACTTCAGCCTCCTGGTCTCAAGCCAGGGAACAACATCCCACACCCTTGCAAGCAAACGAAAATCCTTATACCAGAAGCGACTGCCCTGTCCATCAAGTCTTGCAACGATCTCAAGCCTCCACGTGTGCGAGAAAGACCTCAGCAAGGCTGAAGGCATCTAGCGATTTCAGGGGTTTGTAGGGTTTTGGGCTGGGGAGCAATTCAAATGTTTACTCCGACAGATTTCGGCCCAGAGAATAGGAGACTCGGATTGAGCCCACGCGCCCCTCTGGCAGTCTACAAGCTCTTCACCATGCTGCAAACAGTGGCCTCCGCGTAGGCGACGCTAATCTGGTCCAAAGGGAACTCGTGGTGCTTCCACCTTCGGGCGTGTGAAGAGGGAGGGGGCGAGACAAGCTTGTAGAGTTCGATCCCCACGACTAAAGAATCTAAGAGGGTTGGAATCCGACGCCACAGCTGCTTCTGCACTTCATGTCTAAATCCTGTGGGTTGAATTGGGTTGATATTACGATATCTTACGTCTAAGTTGAAGTTACCGCAGCTCTGCAACGTGCCTCGCAGCCCGCTGCATGTGGTCCACCCAGAACCTTGGGGGCTTCCGAGAGCAAGCCTTAACATCTCGATGCCGGCATCCAAAATCAAAATAGACTCCATACACGCCAGCCGGCTTCAGGCGCAAATAGCAAGCGTAGAAGCACCACAAAAATCCGAATTCAACCCTATATCACCATACATCCGATATCCCACCAGCCAAACCGCTCTGACCCTCCAAAAAAACTCAAACTTCCCATAGCCTAAAGTTCTAAAGACCATAGTCATGGTCGCGCGAGTCTCCACTTCTCTAAACTTCCCGACAAGGCCTCCAACAGGAGTGTGGCGTCCGAGATCGGAAGTCAGAATTCGGAACCACAGACGTGAGCAACTAGAGCCAAGCCAAAGCCTTGCGCTTGCCAAAACACCCTCTTGTCTATCGCCTTACACCTCGGCCCTGGGCCCGGTACAGGACTCTAGGCCCCCATGGCAGGGTTTTGAAGCCAAAGCAACTCTGCAGAGGCCCAGTTCCCCGCTTTGGCGAGGGCGTTCAGGAGCATGTTGTAGGTGTAAACCTGGGCTGTCAGTTGAAAAGTCTCGTGGGAGGTTGAGCTGAAGGTTTGGGATTCTGTGGTCGGCTGGGGGTGAGAGCAGCCGGTGGCTGGCACTGTAGTGTCTGGAATTTCTCTTGGTCTATTCTCTATAGGGCTCTTCAGCAGCAGAGGGTTTAGGCAGCTTCGATTGAGCAATTCAGGTTTTGTTCTTATGGTCAAGTGTCTGGAATAGGATTTAGTTGTGGCAAGCAGGTGCCAGGCATGTAGGGTGAAGTCGCTTAGGGGGAGGATAAGTCCTGTTGCCTCCTCGTAAAAGATAGTTGGCTGCTCCGGCTTCCATCCCCCTGTCTGTGCTCCACACGTCTCAACCCTCATCCTACATCTGCAAGCCTACACCCAGCAACATCCAAAACTGCGAAGTCTTTCATGCCAGGCAGAAACTCCCTGAAACCTCGATGTGCAAAGATTCCTGTGTGCGGTCGAAGACTGGAAGGGAGGACCTACTACAGAACCGATTTACAGGATTCCCACGTCCACGTCCATATCAGCTGAGAGAGCATCTGGGGTCAGCCGGTTTCGCAGCAAACGCCGGGCCATTCGCTCGGCCATCGCGGCATCGCCGGACTGGACGCAAGCCTCCCCCGCCCGGAGTTGGCCCCCGTCGGCTTTGGAACCGCCTTGGAGCCTTTGGTTGGCGGTATCAAGACGTTCTTTAGACTCTCTGATTCTGAAGCATTGAAAAGGCTTTCTTGTTCTTGAGCTGCAGAAAAAGCAAGGTTTGGGCATTGGGTGTGTTGAGGCCTGGGTTGTTCATGCTAGGGTTCTTGTCCCACAAGGCCGGAGTCAGAGAACGCATTGCGACCTTTTTCTCCAAGTCAGCCCCATGGATGCCTGACAAGCATTCCAGCTGAAATGCCGCACCTGAGCCAAATGGCCAGCCCCGCCTTGATGATCTGCTTGTAGCAGTTGAGGTCTGGCTCAATGCCCGCCTGCACCAAGGATTTAGCCCGTCGGGTTTGAGGCAAAGGTGTACCAGAAAGTCGAGACCCAGATTTTTCTCGCCTTGACATCGTGACTACATCGGGCTGGTAGCTGGGCAGAACCGTCCATCTCCAGCACGCTTCCAGGGCACCGAGCTCTGAGCAAGCACAACGGCCACAGGCCCGAAGCAGAACTCAAAGAAAGACTGTAGTAGCCTGGAAAACACGTATACAGGTCTTGACACTGGGAGGACTCGCAATGTCAAGACACGATGCTCGTGACAAAGGCTTCTGGGCAATGACTGCGCCAGCAGCAAAGTCATCCTATTAAGTCTCTGAAGTTAGGTCAACATACCTGGCGTGGCTGGGTCCGAGAGGGTGCTCAGCCCATGTCCCAAAGGGGCAAAAGCGCGCAAAAAATACCTGCATAACTGCATAGCATCTTGCCGCCGATCAGCCAAGTGTTCTGGCTCGTTGCACATGAGGCATGGATCGCGCCCAAACCCCCAACCCAAATTCAAACCCCAAAGCTGCAACTCATCAAAAGTGGCAAACATAGACAATACCATCAAAGCGCAACTACAACTCCCCGAAAACGTGAACCAGTATCGTTAAAACCTTGAACTTAAACTGGCTGAAGCAAGACTTTGTTGTTGCCTCCTCCGCTTGCAGCAGCCAGTCCCGCGCACCAATGGCATTTCCTGCCTGGCAGGCTTGGTCAGAACACCAGATGATAGGGCCCCTCCGGAGTACTAGCATGTCATGCTTTCCACACGACACAAAGGATTGCAACAAAGACTCAGCAAGAACCCTGGCCCTGGCCCCAGGCCTCAAAACCGGTATCCCCCATCAAAGTTGCCTTCGCAAAGGCGCTGAGGAGAGTGCTGTACGTTACCACATCCTCAGCTGGACAGGGCAAACCTCGCCAAACACTGCTCTGCTCAATCTTCCTAGCTTGTCCTTCAGGTCGAGACATTTCAGACTTCCCTCGTGGCGTCGGATGGCGCTTCTAGAAGGTCTCACTGGACGCGGGAGGCCGGAGCTGAAGACGGGCGACTTCAACAATCTGCTGTTGCTACTTCGTGAGAATCATCGACAGTCCAACGCATTTGGCATGCTTCTGCGACGAACAGAAGTCGACCATTCTGCAAGAGTCAATGCCCTGCTTACGCTGAGTTCCCAAGACCGCGATCTCGAAATTAGGGCCAACCTATTGGGGAGCTGTGATGGACAGCCACGGCGCAGGTCTGAGCTGGAGGTCTTCCATTCCTCAGCCACAACTCATATCTCGCGTGACGCGTCTCGCTTCAGAAGTGCGGTGATCGACATCTAGATGCTCAAGCATGGAAAAGAAGGAGAATCGTACCTTTTGAAACCGTGTGTTGTCGCACAAAAACAAGGTGGTGGGGGCTGTTGCCTTTGCAGGTCCACTGCCATGAAGGGCATGAAAATGCACCTGCTCAACAAGGAATCCGCGCAACCAAGGACCATTCTGGTCGCTGCAGCGTCGAGTGGCGGCGTCATGCAGCTCAAAGAGATCATCATCACAAGGAATACTTCACCAATGTTCTTCGCAGTCGTCAATGCATCCAGAGCACAGTACTTTGTGGGCACAGAAACACAGCCAGGGGTCGGAGTAGCATGCCCTCCGCACCCGCCGTGTCGCCACTGTTCGCGGCAGCAGACATCAGGATGTTGCAGCCTGTGGGCTTCGGTCCCAAATTTGCAGGTTGGTTCTCGGCTTGGGGCTTTTCGCTACTGCGCAGCACCACATGCGCTTTGTTGGAATGGTGGTAATTGGCCATCCCTCCACAGAACAGGAGTCATTACCGAGGCAGCCAGAAAGAGTGCCTGGCAGGTAAGCCGACGGTCATTTTTTTTTCAGGGCTCGGTCATGGCTTTGGGGAAGCTTTCCTGGCTCATAGAGGATGGAGACATTTGAGGCTAAGGACTTCGGCGCCGAGGCCGGTGATGAAGCAGAATCCAGGATGCAGACAGACTTGACAGCAGAGGTTGGGATTTCGTGTCGGATGATGAGTTGGGGCTGAGGGCCCGGCTCACAAGCTCTGGTCGCATGCCCTCGTCGAGCATCACTCTGAACCTGATGAGCAGCACACACTGTGTCCAACACCAAAGCTCCTCTATCGAAAGTCCGAAGTACGACCGATGATCGCAAATCAGCTCGCCAGCTCTGGACCTCAAGCTTAGTAGCAGCTTGAGCACCAACAGGGCGGCGGTTGGAATTGTCTAACCCCGTAGCTGCCCTGGAAGAACAAGTCAGTTCATGGAAGAACAAGGCAGTTTCCGATCAGGATTTCGAGGTTTTTGCCACGCTACCCCGCTCTGCAAATCTACGAAGACAAAAGACAATTATCCGAGTGGTATATGGAGATCAAAATCATGACTGGTAATGTTGCCGTCCACACAGTTCGTGGCCGCTCCATGCCCCAGCAAGCGGCCATGCTTCCGCGCCCTCCATATCGCCCATCTTGGCATGTGCGGTCATGACCTGGGTCTCCAGGTTGGGGCTAACCGGCTCCGAGGCTTGGGGCCGGGGCCCTATTGTAGCAGAAAAGGGGGGGCCATCTCGGGCCTACTAGCCTTCATATCGACATCCTACATGCGAAAGTTTCTTGGGCAAGGCATGCAAAGTGGAGGAGATGGTCTGTGCACTGCGTAGCTGTCGACTCCCAAAATCTCATCAAGAACGAACCTCATCCATGAAGCCTGCCAAGTTGAATCATAAGAAAGTGTCGGCTGCTGGGTGCTTAATTTTGTATGGTTTCTGGTTTGTTGGGTTTGAGATCGTGCAAGCTACAAGGCGATATGTCTTCACTGGCCATGAACAAAAAGCAAAGCCGAAGTCTTTCACGCAAAGGCGCGGCGTGGAAATGGGGCACCCATGGCTGCAGGCCCGCCTGATTTGGGAGCTGAGGACATTACCACGCGATGGGTCTACAGTTGGATGGTGTGCCCTTGCTTTCTCACGTTCTCTTCCTTTCGGGCTCAGGGCCAAGCCAGTGTGGAGACTTGCAGTATCGCAATAGCCATTGAATAATGTTTGTTGAGCATAGGCTATTTTTAGGAATTCATGACTTTCAGAATTAAGGAAAATTGATTTCGGTTCGAAACAGCACGGAGCATGGTTCATTTTCGACAAGATCCTGTGTTTGTTCTTATGATTTTCCTATAATTCCACTTATGTCCCCCTATTTTGCACAAAAACGACAAAAACAACACTCATAAAACTAGGATTTCTGCGAGAAACCCCAGGCTTCGGTCAAACAGTCGAAAAAGGGCACCGAAAATGGCGCGTTTTCTGCACAACCTTTTTATACGATGATTTTCCTAGTTGTTCCTTAATTTTTTGACGAAAAACCATGACTTCTGCGGGAAATCCTAGGTTTCGATGCAAATCGAAGAACACAGCAAATGAGTCTTGTTGAAAAACAATCCTAAATGTTTCGCTATTATGTTCCTATATTTCCCTAGTTTTTCCATTAGGAAAGGAAAACCGACAAACACCGACAGTTTTTCATTTTCGACAAAACCCTATTATTCTAATATATTTCCCCTAAACTCTCGATGTCCAAATGATTCCCATTTTCAAATTTTCACCCTAAATATCAACTTTTTCCAACCACCACTATACAGGCCTCTCCACAAATCTTGAAGCTAGTGTGTCTCAAGGTAAGTATGTGTATGTGTGTGTATATATATATATATTTATATTTATATTTATATTTATATTTATATTTATATTTATATTTATATACATGTATAGATAGAGAGAGAGAGAGAGAGAGAGAGAGAGAGAGAGAGAGCGAGAGAGCGAGGGAGGGAGGGAGGGAGGGAGGGAGGGAGGGAGGGAGGGAGGGAGAGAATGCTTGAACTTCCTGCTGGGCTGTTGGCGATGTTGCTACTGGAGTCGTTCATCCTACCAAGTCCAATCCAACACTGAAGCCTGAATTCGCCCTGTCCCTCGAACCCTGAACTCGAGAAACTCAGTGCATGAGACGGATTCCCCGTGAAGGCTCTTCACCTCGGACATGCGACGGAGCCAATCTGCTGCACCTCGCAACACGGCAAAAGCGGTAGCAAACAAAGCCCTTGGGGTGTATGAATGTGTAAATGTCAGAAGCCTGGTTCCGGTCCTACAGCGTCAGGTTGCGGAGCAACTTGAATCCATGTTGAAGCTTTCAGGGGCAGGAAAAGGAAGGCTCCATGTTTCGAGTCGCAGTGGCATGCTCAGGAAGTGGTGCTTTGGTTGGAGTGGATGAGGGTGACAGAAGTACATGTAAAGATTATGGTTGAATGCTTTGACCTCTCCGAACCGTGCTCTTGTCCCTAAAGAACTCAAACCCACATCCTGCAAAATCCGAAAAAGTTCCGAAGCCCACAGGCTAGAAGTCAACCATCTTCTGAACGCTCAAACCCATCCCCCAGCTCCCACCTTGTGGGTCAGAGACGGATGCTGCCACCCGGATCATCTGCAGATACGTGGTGGCATCTGGCTTGGCCTCAGTGATGTGTGCTTTGCTGCTTTACCATTCGAGCCATGGAGGTTTTGATGCCTGCAGGTGGCAGACTTGGATGAAAATTTTGGGATGAGGGTTCAGGCTTGGCCAATCCAGACTTGTTTTAACCCTCCCATCCCCCCGGCTTGCAAAGCCTCCGCGCTGCAGTCTTGAACCTGCCGCAAAGACAACCTTCAACTCAAGACCTGAAAGCCTCAGATTGCACAGTGAACCCTCCAACTCCGAAATGGAATTTTGGCTCTACGAATGTAACAGCAGGGAATTCCCCTACCGAGCAGCAGAGCTCTAGGTTCATGATGGACCATTCCGGATTGGGGTCAGCGTTGCAGCTGGTGTGAAGTGCAGTGTGGAGTCTAACAGCCGAACTAACCCCATATTGAAGCCGCAGAACTCAACATCGAACCCAAGACGGCGGTTTTTCAGAGACGAGCTTCCATCGTTTCGAAGAGCTTTTCTGCTTTTTTGGCCTGATCCACAGGAATGCCGGGTCGGCAGTCGCTCTGCTCATGGAGTTGAGCTTCAACAATGCAGGATTGGGCTTCGAGCATGGAATGCGTGCCTGCTCCTTCTGAGCATAGGCTTTCAGCAGCGTGTTGTGTGCGAAGGTGTTGCTTGCCTGGCGGCATCTCTACGCATTCAGGTCATGAAGACGACAGGACATCATGAATGCAACAGTCCACACATCGCCGGCCCTAAAAGGTATTCTTTGTACTCGTGACACAAACTCTCAGATTTCCCACTTTACAATGCTCAAGTTGGTCATCCCTCCAAGGCAATAAATCGTGGGGACCTCTACAGAGGGCCAGCCCTTTTCCCAGGCAGCCATCCACCCTGTTTCGGGACATCAGCTTCCCTAGAGCGGACTCCAATGGCGTAGCGAAACGAAGATTGTGCCGAGTCGCGTCTGTCACTTCCATCTCGCCGAACACGCGCTCCTGAATAAAGAGACGGAATCGGCAACCATCCCCGCAAGCATGGAACACGCGGTGTGGACTTTCAATGACTTTCATTTCAACTTCATGGCTGTGCGGAGGCTAGCTGAAGAATGTCTCAAAGTACAGCAGCGGCAGCAAATGCTCGGCTGAAGGGCTACTGGAATAATCGATCGAAGCTCTGTCTTGAAGTACTGCCAGGTGCCATCACGTTTAGCGTGAGAACATGAAGCCCATTTCGGAAGCAGCATGCTCATGCTGAAGCCAAGTCGCAGCACCCTCAATGTCACCCGCAACCACATACGCCTGGACTGGGCCCGGTCGTGTCGTGGCACTATGTATAGGGTTGGAGCCAACGCTTCAGGGCTTTGGGTTTGTGGATTTCCGAGGCTTTTTCCGGGCTTGGCCGCAGTTCTGAAGGTTCGGAACCTTGCAAGGGAAGGGTTGAAGCTCTACTGAATTCGGGTCTGATGAGCCGAAGTCGGTCGGCTCAGTGGCCGGAGGGTCTCCTGGGCTCTCAAGCCAGCCAGGTACGACCAAGGAGCCTGCACCAAAGCGCTGTAGCCTGAGCTTGCAAGATGCGAAACCCGAAAAGTGAACTGCTTAAAGCTGTAATATGCAGAGAACGCATCCCCTGCACTTCATGCCTGCGCAGGGTACTCCTCCACCTGACATCGCCCTCGACATCCAGTTGAAATTTGGAAGTTGTGTCTGTGATACATCATATCTTGGATGTTTTCCTGCAAAGGGCAAAGCCAAGCCTGAACAAAATCCTACAATCATGGCAGGTGGCTGTACATGTCCGGAGCGACACCTCGAGCGCGCATGCGCCGGATCCACTTCTCTGCCTCTGTGAAACAAATCTTCTGCCCAGCCAGCACAACCTAGGTATTCAACCCTGCTAAGCTTGGCCATAACCCCATGAAGCAAGCCTGAGAAAACTGTTTAAAAGCAAATCATGTTCGACCCATACTCGAATGTCCACTTGCAAACCTTCCGCCCGAGCCCACATCCTTCTACCAGTCTCAACACCAAGTCGCTGCAATGCGGTTAAGCTCAATTTCTAGGGCTGCTGCAAGTCCTTCTTTCTCGAAGCCAGGTTTTGTACACTGCTGAACTTTCGGACAATTCCGATGCCATGTGAAAAGCTTCAATAGCCCTTATCCTTGCCTTGAGAAAGTCACCGCGCCGGCCGTAGCACTTCAGCAAGGTGTTGTAGCCTCGTCTCGGCATCCTCCTAAACATGCACATTTTACAAGATCTGGAAAGGTCTGTCCCACGGCCTGAAAAACCTGAAGTTCAACGACCCGAACCGTCTAGACCGGCAGCTTCCTGAACCCCCAAGAACCGTGAGGTGGGGACATGTGACTTGCAGAATTTAACCCCCAAATGGGAGCGCAGGGCTTCGGCATGGGACACTTTGCTGGCATCTCAAGCTCTGCACTTCGGACGGTGGATGATGAAGAATGAAGATGACAACGCACGTCAGATTCGTAGACCAACCCGTTCAAACCCCAGAACCCTGCAGTCAAGCTGCTGTAGATGTCGGGCTGGAAGACACGATTCAGCATGTCCTGAACAACACCCCGCAGGGCTTCAGATAGCAAGCACGTCACCCCTCAGCCCGGAAACTGTTCATTCCAGCATGCACTTTTCAATCCTGCAAGAGGTTACGGTTAAAGGAAGCCTCAAGCCAGACATCCTGCTGCAGTCAAGAGTTCAAGTTTTTGCACGGCCTACAGCCTTGCAAACACATGTTGCAACCATTATGCCTATGCAGCAGCAGAAGCACTGATAAGGCTGCAGGGCTCGAGAAGGGCCCTGCTCACATTCGGCTTTGCGCTTGCTCCTTGACCCAGCTCTCGGCGGCCATGGGACGGTTCGCATTGACGTGAGCCTGACCGGAACTGGGACTTTCAGCTTCGGGTGTATAGGCGAGCGGCTTCAGGGGGGCCCTAGGACTTCAGGATTTAGCGGGTTTGGACCTCCCATTCGCAGGGGTTCATGTACTTTATGGCCGATGAGACGGCATGCAATGGCACGACAATTCAGGCAAACCAGGGTTTGAGAAAAAGCGCGCGACTCAGCTTTCAGCCTTGATCATCTGGTTCCACATCCTCCGACCCAGAGGCAGCCGCAAATGCCGTCTTCTCCAAATGCCTGGGTGGGAAGGGTTTCGGCTTCCGTGCGGATCGCACCTACCTGGCCATTTAAGCTGGTGCTACGCTCCGCAGCTGTCAGCTGTTGCACACACAGACCCTAAAGGCTACCAAGTCGTGAAGCTCTGGTAATTTCTCGCTGACCTGCTTGACATAACGTAGTTACTGTTGTGATAGGATAAAGACCCATGGAGCCTTCATGGGGCTGACACCTAGGACGCTGAATCCAATACTTGGGCCCTCAGCCCAAAGATTTAGAAAGGACAAGGCACCCTTCATGATGTACCGAGCCTGTCTCCACTCGCCATTGTCGGCCTTGGACGGGAAGCGAGAAGTTTGGCATCTGAGTTTGCTGAGTTGCTAGTCAAGGCAGATCGCACTGGCGTGCATTTGGGCATGAGGCAACGTGTACACATGCTGGTTTGCTCCAAACTGCCATGGTGTCCGCCCCATTGGGGCAGAAACACCCTGAACTTGAAACACTTGTGCTCAAGAAGCACAAACGAGAACCTGCTATCCATTCTATCCCCTTGCAGGGCCCATGTCTCTACCCACTCAAAACTCAGGCCTCGAGGACACTAGGCTTCGGGTGTCAAAAAAATCATGAAGCTCGGAAAGCCCTCCAAATTCGTCTTGGCGGCATGCTCCGAGAGCATGTTCAGCCGATCCTTCCTGGCAGGGGCGAGGCTTCGGGCGTTCAGGCTGCACTCCGTCCCCCCAAGCTCCGAGCCTCAGTCCAGGCACAATTATGAAAGGTCTTGCATGGTGTAACCTTGAGAGGTCTGAGGAATACCTGTTTTCGCCCAAGGAGGGGGAGGGGGAGAATGATTCCCTCTCTACTGGTAGCTGAAGGCCTTAAAGTTTCTGCCAGGCTCGAAAGATGTTTCTGAAGGGACTACTGCACAGGAATTATTCCCCATGCCCTGAAGCTCTAGAGACGACAAAAAGGGACAGAAGTGCTGCGCTGCCGGAATCCCAACCACAGACAGGACTCATTTCAACCGGGCCGCAGTGTGATGACCATCTGGTTGCTGGGCATGCCACGTGCATAGAAAAGATCGCGCTTGCCATTCTTCAACCTGGGTCCGAGGGCTTAGGGTGCACACTTGAGGGTCTCGAACTCATGCGTAAGTAAAGAGTACTGCGAGAACTTCTCCCGCATAGATTTTGAATCGGACTGGATTTGGGACTTTCTGGCTCGGCATCGAAGTTCGTAGCGCAGATCCCAATTGCATTTCTGCGCTATTGAGCACCGTGACGCTGCGCTTCTATTGGGGCCTAGCTGCTCCTTGAAGGTATCCAACTCCTTGCTGGCATCCTTCTCGAAAGGGTCGATTGGGACCTTGATCAAAGCTACTGTAGGCCGCGCTTTCCCGGAACCCCTCAATGTTGGCATGTCTCAATCACTCTTACTGCTGTGTTGGATGCTTGCCGTGCAGTTCAGAGCTTACGAATTCGTCCTAGAATGGCTCAAAATTCAGGTTGCAAGTTACGGCGCAGACTTGCTGTCTCACAGACAAGAACCATCGACAATCATGAACGAGCCCCGCATCCTCCGAACCTTGCACCTCGAAGGCCACATCCGAAACAGTAAGTGAACTCGTTTCACGCCAACTTCCCAAAGTCCCTCTGGGTTGAGAACCGTTCCAGGCTCCTTCGCAACGATGGGCTGAGCATTGAACTCGGCCAGGAACTCACTGACCTGCGACTTGTCTGAGTCGACTGTCCGACTGTGGGGCTTCATTCAAACATGTCGGACTCGGGTTTGCCGGCCAATTCAACCGTCTCATGTCGACTGTGACGGGCGTATTGATCCGCCTATTCCCGAACCTCCTGACTCTCTTCTCGAGTATCACAAGAGCCTGCGTGAAGCCTGAACATCCTTCTTTTTGGCTCAAGAACCCTGTAAAGTGAAAAAGATAAACGTGCGCAGCCGGAAGGTTGAAGAGTCCCTAGCACTGAGACGGATGCGTTGGCGTTCTTGTTGGGTCCGTCCAACGCTTAGAAACGTCGGCCTCGTCATCACTGACCTCCACCGCCTGCATCAACGCCTGCAATTACCAGGGGATTCAAACAGGCTTAAACATCGATCCCAGTAACGATCAAAGGCATGACATCGAGGCTGCTCTCACACGCAGCGCATTCGATGATAAATACATGAGGCAAGGTTTGGCGGTAGCACTCTTGGCCCGGACGAAATGAAAGCCCAGAAACCTCAGTGCCAACCCCTGACACTTGCACCCTTCACCCTATACCTTAAAGGCTGGATTGTTCAAGTTGGAGCCCTGAGCTCGGAACAGGACCGAGGCTAGGATCTCGCAGTGAGTAAGCCTCCAGCTTTTCTGGCGAGTTGCTGCTTCGTCTGCTGGCTCCTCTTCCAGCTCCTCCAGCTGCGACCGCTCGACCTGCCACACACATTTCTTCTGACAAGTTGCGATCAAAGCCTCGGAGTTGAGACGTCAGAGCCTGGACAAGCGAACCCCGACGTTTGATGTTTGACATGTGGAGCCAAGGCTTGCAGTGCAGGGGATCCGTCGGCTTCTTAATCCGAAGAGTGCTTGCACAGGACAACCGGCACGAAACCCAGGGCAGATGCCAATTTCCAGGCAACACATGCCTCCATGTCCTCATCGTCTGCATCAAGCTCCATATCCTTGCTGCTGAGGTCGGGATGCTTGTCTGTTTGGGTTGTCCAAAGGCACCGAGTAACACCTCCCCCTTCATACGTGAAATCTGCGAGAACCCAGACTTCATACCTAAGAGCCGAAGCCTGTGCTGCAAGCAAACACGATCACGAGCTCCCTACGCTGGCCTACACTCTTCCTTCAAGAGCCTGTCAATGATGACAAACACGGTGAGAGGCAAGGCGAGACTTATCCTGGACAATGCGTGAAACTCATGAGAATGACAACTCGACTGGCAAGAGACGGACAGCGATACTCATCATGGGAGCTTTTCACACCTGTCACCGCCTGGTCCAGCCTGAGACTCTGCGAAGCCTTGTCGGCTGAGGTTCGCAACCAAACCCGTAACGCTGCAAAGCTCAACTTGGAGTTTCGGCTTCAGGGTAACCCAAAGCTAAGCATCAATTGATTACGCTCTCAAACATCCCGAAAGCTTGCAAATTAAGGCCTTGGGTTTCAGGGTCTGCAGCTCTAGATGGCTTTAGTCTTGGGGAGCTTTGGGGTTGGGCTCGCGAGTGGGGCGTTTCGAATTTCAAGCTTGAGGCCCGGAGCCCTCCGTGTAAGAATTGATTGTAACCCATACAAAAGGAGTGTAAGACACTGAAGCTAAAATTTCAACAACTGATCCCCCTGAGCCCTCAGCAATCTTCTTTGTGCAGCGTAGCTTCGTCCCACTCGCTCGGATCGAACTCTAGCGGTTCATCTCCTTCTTCCTCGCCATCCGCGATGGATTTAAGTTTTCGGGCTTTAGGTGACGAAGGCTTCAAGGATGAAGGAGCATGGATAAGGAAAAGACCGAGAAGGTATCATTTGACATACTCTTCTGATCCTGCGCCGTTCCCTGCCCTCGTTTGCCCTCAAACTTGAACCTTTGCATAAAGGCGGAGCACCACATGCAAAACAAGTGTGTCGTTGTTGGACTTTAATCCTTTGATTCTTTCACTGGTGCTATGTTCAAAACCCAAGATGCCAATCTCACCGCATGATTAGCTTGCGGAAAACCAAATGCCGTGCCAAAGTACTGAACAATAAAACGCCTAAGACCTGAAGCCTCAAACCCGCAATCCTCATCCTCATCCTCCAGGCTCAAATCGATGGAGGACAACCTCTCCATCATGTCATCAGGGACCTCAAGGTTAGCTTGGAGGTTTCAAGGTGCTCGTGGGGGTGCTGAATTGTGCGCATTGCCGAGCGCGCGAGTCGAGTGTGAACTTGTCTAGGACCTCGACTTTTCTGTTTTGAGAAAGTTACGGTTCTATAAGAGCGAAGTGCGCTGCAGGTCTGGTATTAGGCATCTGAGGTGAAACTGAAAGCAACCCCATGGCGGAGATTTCGGCCTGAGAGCCACTTTCAAGTGCTTGGAGTGTTCTGCTGAAGGCTTCAAAGAACAGTCCAGCCCCCCAAAGACGAAAAGCTGCAGAACTGAAGGCTGAACTCCGAAGCTTCCGGCCTGCTTGCTTGGAGCTTCGAAATCCTTCTGCTCCTCTTCTTCCAGCTCCTAATCAAGGCGAGGTGTGGCCTGTAGGGCCTGTAAGGGATGAGGGTCGAGGGCCGAGGCTCGGGGCAGCTGCAAGCCTCGGCATACGACGCACGACCGATGCATCCGTAAGCACCGAAAATCCCAGACCCTCAGCTCGAAACCTCGCCCCTGGCAAGCAATGCACTAGGCTACACATAACTGACCCCACGACGTTCCCATCCCTTCCGTTGATTCCCCTCCCTCGTCTACGTCCTTCTCCTGCTGAATGCAAGCTTCCGGGTTTCATCGTGGAATGGTATGTCCCGATCCCTTCCCCGAAAGTCTTGAAGCACCAACTCCTGAGCCCACTAAACAACTTCAAACCGCCCCGAGAGAACTATTCGCAGCAGGCCCAGCTTGAAGGCGTCAGTATGACTGTGTAGAGAATCAAACCCAGCATTCGTCCAAGGATGCCTCCTTCCGGGCGACCCTTCGGCAGGTCTTCCAGGACCGCTCGCCCTGGCTGCGGTGGCTTGGCTAGGGTTTTTTTTGAGTTTTACTCGGGTTTGGAGTTCCAGGGCCACCCGGAACTCGTCGGTTCATAGCCTCTAGGTATAACAGCCTGTCACACGATGCTTATGATGCAACCGAGCTACCTACAAATCTGTATCAGCTATCTATGAATGTTCGCTCGAATATGACGCTAGTACGCATAAAGAATAGACCAGGAGAAGCGCTCGAGCAAAATAACATGCGAGCTGACACCAAAGTAAACCCGAAACCGAACACTAATCGCTATACCTGAGATCAAACCCAACCGCTTGAGCCCGAACCTTGAACTCTGAAATTTCTCGCAAAGCAGGTTGTCTTCGAAGGCTTGGCCCCCAGCTCTAAGGGCCCCTGCCCGCGCGTCGGCTTTCCGCCTGTCTTTGCGTTTTGGGCGCTTGGTGCTTTGGGTTGGTGGGGTTTCGGGTTGGGGTGCTTTTAGATTGGTTGGATGGTTGTTCTCCGTTTGTCTTGTTTGAAGGGTGATCGTTTAGACAGACTTGGTCTCCATCATTGTATGCTTCTCACCCTCGCTGGTCTTCACTCACTTGTGATAGATTGCGTCTTTGTTACTGCGAGTGCAGCGTGTACCTTAAACTGGAGCGTTAAACAGCATCTTTCGACTTCCACGATCGCTTCCCAAATCGTTCGAGATTCCCTCCAAATCTTGCGGACGGAGCCTCTTCGCCACAATGCCTGCCACAAACACAGTGGCGGCTACGGGCGCTGACGGCCCACCTGGAAAGATGAACGTTTCTGGAGGTGTTGAAGGGAAGCAAGCACGACTTCGAGGCAGTGTTCTTGTGTTCCTGCAGCATTCACGTCTCGAGGTTGAGAGGCTTAACGGCCTCGCTGGCAAACAACTCTATTCCTTAACCCCGAAGTGAGCTTGAACTAACTCCGAACTTAAAGTATAAAAGCGTGGCAGTGCAAGCACCCAGTGGCTCCAGTCTAGCTACTTTTATGCTGTTCTCTGCGTCAACTGACACTCTGAAAACAACCAGAGGCAATGACATTGACATCCTAAACCCCAAAACTCACAGAGGGCCAAAATACAAACCAATTTGTGCTTGTTCTGTTCGAGGCCTCGCTGCGGAGCCTCGCGCAGAGGCCGCCCCGGCTGTGACACGAGCCTGTAGCTGCTTGCGGAAGGGGTCCCGGGGTTTTGGGTCGTAAGAAGCCCGCGTTGGGGTCCTAGCATAGGATGGCTTCTAGAAAAATAGGTTGCACGTTGCATCTATATACTGGTTGCCGAGAGAAGGGAGAAGAGAGAGAGAGAGAGAG